GTAGTCCATGTTTCTTCAGCTCTACCCAGAGAAGGGCAATGTAGGAGGGAAAACGACGTTTGCAAAATATTTCATGGTAGGCTTTTTCTTAAAGTGACTTCAGACTTACAGAAGTTTAAAAATAGTGCAAAGAATCCCATATACCTGTCACCCCAGTTCCTGAAATGTTAATATTTTACCACATTTGTTCATTATGTCTCTATTCTCCAAGTACTGTATATGCCATTATATGTAATAAGTAGCATTTTATATAGATACAGGGCATGTATGCACTATATGTTTTTTTCTGAGCCATGTAAAGAGTAAAATGCAGATGTAACATGCTTTTATTCCTAAATACTTCAGTGTGTATTCCCTCAAGAAAGGGCATTTTCTTCTGTATAGCTACCGTACACTTCTACACTTTTCAAAATCAGAACATTTACGCTGATACCATAGTATGACATGATCTGCAGACCATTTTCCAGTATGCCAGTTGCCCCACTGTGTCCTTTAGTACAAAAGAAAAAAGGTTTTTTTCCTGGTCTAGGAGCTAATCCTGGTGCACATGTTACATTTAGTTGTTTTAATCTAGAACAGTTCCTCAGTTCTTTATCTTTCATAATCTTGACATTTTTGCAGAGTACAATCCATATATTTTGCAGAATTTCCCTTAGTTTGGGTGTATCTGGTTTTTCCTTGTAAGATTCATTTTACGCATTTTTGGTCGGAATACCACAGAAGTACTGTACATCTTACCAGAAAGCCATAAGTGGCTTTTGATTCTTCCCTGCAAATGCATTTTCTAAATGATCAGTTTTAATATTATGTGGAAAGCAGTCAGAGATTCTCACATATGTCAAGATATTATAAGTGTTCCTTATATATTTATTCTCCAATTGCTTTTTCTCAAGAAAATGTGCGGCCTTTCAGGTAGCTTTTACAAAGTGGAAGTCACTACATCAAATTAGGATGAGGGGGCAGGGAAGAGCTTTATTAAAGCTTTAAGTTTAAGCTTTGAGTATGTGTTGTATGTAAATGAACATGGGCATCATGATGCAGGGATTGGGCCTTTAAACCTTTGGCCAAGAATGGTATCAATTATTATTACATATATTTTTTGGAGTACTTCTGCTAAAACACTCAAATCAGTGCGCCACTCTCCTTTTAGGAGTTTTACACCTTTCCAAGGTACACTTTTTTTTTTTTTTTTGAGACAGAGTTTTGTTCTGTCGCCCAGGCTGGAATGCGTTGGTGCAATCACAGCTCACTTCAGCCTCTACTTCCCAGGCTCCAGCAGTCCTCGCAGTTCAGCCTCCTGAGTAGCTGGGATTACAGGTGCACACCACCATGCCCAGCTAGTTTTTGTAGAGATGGTGTTTTACCATGTTGCCCAGGCTGGTCTCCAACTCCTGAACTCAATCTATCCGTCCTTCTTAGCCTACCAAAGTGCTGGGATTACAGGCGTGGGCCACCACTCCGGGCTTCCAATCCAGGCATTTAAAGTAATATATAGGGAGATAAGCGAGAACCCTGTTGGACCTGGTAGAAGCAAACAAACATTTATTAGTACTATTACAGTACTAATTATTACAGTACTAATAAATGTTAATAAAATATTACCCCCTTCTATATTCATATCTGTTCTTACTGCCTGTTAGAATTATCAAAAAAACTTACTCTATAGTTTATTTGTCTTATATCTCAGCGGTAATAAAATTAGTTAATAGTATTGGCATCGTGGTTCTTTGTGCATTCCTCCCTTATCCCACCCCCAAACTGATTTCAAATGATCTCTTGCTCTAGTCTGAGAATGTTTATAGTGATTATGAAAAGTTCAGATTCTGGCTTTAACATCTATAAATGTTTATTTATCTGTAAACACAGGAGAATGAGTTTGTTTAAACCAGAAAGATGGCAAGAGTAGTCTGGTAATTTTGCTCCATTCCTTAAAAGTCCTATAATAAAATAAGCATATCTTGTGTTTTATTTTTACAGTGTTTTTTTAAACATTAGTATAGAGTGCCACTTCTTATATTCTATATCAAATAATTAGTTACATTTTCAATAATAAACTCTGGGTAATTTTTGGCATTAAAATCTGCGTTACTAAATAATTTGAGGATATAATTTATAATCACTTATGCTAAAATCACCTATTTGAAGTTATGTATGAGGTTTTCAAAGTTCATAGTGCTTTGAAAAAATTTTAAATGTTTCTTTGTTTATGTATCTTTATTATAAACTGTAGCATATATCATATAGTTGTCAAGGATGCTGATAGATACTTAATATTTAAAGGTGACTTGTCTAAAGTTACTCAGCTGTCCAGGACTAGAATCTGGGCCTTTTGGTAACAATTCATTGCTCTGTTTACTTAACTGATGATTGGATTCATTAGAATTTCTCTATTTTCATAGCTGTCTCCATGGTTCTATGAAAATACTGTGTGTGCTTATACATATATGTATACCTGTAAGTACAAAGTAGAAAATGAAAGTTCACTTTCTGCTTTTGACAGTTCTAATCCCCAGAGATAACCTTTATTAATATGTTGTCTCATGTTTGGTCAAACTGTTTTCTCTGTATTCTGTGTATTACTGTATAAATTTTACACAGTAATTTGCATATTAAAAATGCTGATCTACACCTCATCCTTTTTAAAAGCTGCCATATATTGTAGCCAGTTTTTTATACCAGTATATATTGATCAACCTTATTCTTTTTAACTGCTGCATTATATATAAATTACATGATTTCATTCATTACCAATAGATGAGACATTTCCATTGGTTTGAATTTTTCAGTATTACAAATAATGGTTCAATTAAACATTTAAGCCTTTGCGCACTTGTAGAATTAATTCCTAGAAGTAGAACCCTTATATTTTGATAGGTATTTTCAAATTGCTTCCCAAAATGCTTGTATCTCTTTACTTCCACTGTCAAGTCTAATAATTTTCACTTGGATTATCATATTTCTTACCCAGCCTGTTTTTTACACTCTAAATTCTTTTTCTTTTCTTTTCCTTTTTTTTTGAGACAGCGTCCTGCTCTGTGGCCCAGCTGAAATGCAGTGGCGCGACAACCAACGTGGGCTCGAGCAATTCTCCCAACTTAGCCTACTGAGTAGCTGGGACTGCAGGCATATATCACCGTGCCCAGCTTTTTTTTTTTTTTTTTTTTTTTTTTTGGTATTTTTAGTAGAGATGAGGTTTTGCCATGTTGCCCAAGCTGGTCTCAAATTCCTGAGCTCAAACAATCCACCCGTCTCAGCCTCCCAAAATGCTGGAATTACAGGTGTGAGCCTCTGCGCCTGGCCCAAACTCTTTTTCTAACAGTAATATAAATTGTCTTTTACAGACTATACTCATATATGTTTCTTCCTTCAGAAGTAGGTGTTAAGTGTATCTAACATGGAATGTATAACTATAATTCTCATTGTGAAACCATAGCCTAATTTATTTCAAATTACAATTTAAAATTCATATTTTTTAGGAAGTTTTCTTAGATTAATCCACCTAGTTCCAGGTGCTACAGTCCCAAGATTTCTTTCTTTTTAACAAATTAAATATAAGTAACATGACTAGAATTGTAGTCAAAGAATATTGCAACTTTGGAACTTTAGTATTTGAACTTATTTTGAAATGTAATTTGTTACATTATAAAAATATATTGCATCTGGAAGTCAGGGGTAGTTTTTTTTTTTTTTTTTAAATTATCTTTGTATCTGCTACACTGTAAAGTGCTATTTATATAAAAAAAATTCTTAATAGAAGTCTTCAGTTGTAAAGTCTGCCGTACAGACTTTAGATCAGGGATTGGCAACTATGAGCCATGTGCCAAATCCTGTCCTTCACCTGTTTTGTAAATAAAGTTTTATTGGAACACATTCAGACTCATTCATGAACATATTGTCTATGATTTCTTTTGTGCTACTATGGCAGAATTGAGTTGTTGCAACTGTGTGGCATCCAAAGCCTAAAATATTTACTCTCTGGCTCTTTGCCAACCCGTTTTAGATTATAAGCACTTTGGCATTAATATGTTTTTGTTTTCTTTCTGTAGCACATAGTAAGATGTTCTGCCCACATTCTGCATAATTTATGGGTTTATTCAAGGATTTATGCAAGTGTAGCTGCAAGAAAAAAAAACCTAGAAGTGAACTTGCTAGATTGAAGAGCATCTGTGTATATTAAATTTTGTTAGCTTTCACCTTCCCAAAGGGATTATTCCATTTCATACTTAAACTACTAATTTTGTGATAGGACTTCTTTCTCCAAAGCTTTGCTGACTTAGTGCATTCACACACTTCATCTTTACTAATCTGATAGAGGGAAATGATATTGTGGATTTGATTCGTGTTTCTTTTTATGTGTTAGATTGAGCTTATTTTCATATTTAAAAGCCACTTGTATTTCTTTTTCTTGAGCTATCTTTTAATGTCCTTCCTGATACATTTCTCAAGTCTGTGATACTCATATAAGATATATGATGAACATGTGTCAGATTTATTTGACTCTAATGAGGGAACCTGCCTGATGACAAGGCTGACTGAGAGGAGCATGTGTGAGATGAAGTGTATATCATCAGTGAAAGAAAGCAAATTCTTATAGGGCAAAAACAAAAACCACCACTCTAAGGGTTATTTTTTCTACTGGACAGAATTCATTTGCATTTTACCAGATAAAAATTACTATTTTCAATTTATCTTTTACAAGTCATTTTCTAATTTTACAGAGTCTATTCCCTAATCAGAATAGTCTTCAAAATTCTCCAGAGCATCAGGTGACTATTATGCAGGCTAATTGTTGACACTCAGATTTAGCTTTAAAAGGACATGTCATAATATTTTGGCCTTATTTCCAAGTTTTGGATAATTTTTCTTAACATTTTTCTCTAATTGAAATGATTTCAAGTGATATTATTTCTGCATGACTTGATAATGAACTTCTAAGAAGGTCACTTAGCTCACGATTGTGTCTTCTAAAACATACTCATCTTTCCTTTTTTCTTGTGTAGGAACTCATTATACAATGACAAATGGAGGCAGCATTAACAGTTCTACACATTTACTGGATCTTTTGGATGAACCAATACCAGGTGTTGGTACATATGATGATTTCCATACTATTGATTGGGTGCGAGAAAAATGTAAAGACAGAGAAAGGCATAGACGGGTAAGTGTTTTTAGTAAAAATTTTTAAAAATATAGTGCATAATTAGATCTTTTAATAATGTATTTCTGCCAGTGATCTCAGGCTGCCAAAATATGTTTACATTTAATATAAGTAAATGTCTACATTTCATATGTGGTACTTGTTTTTTTCTTTTTCTATGTTTAATTTTTTTAGTTTACTTATACCCTGTATCTTTCCAGAAAGGATTTCAGGTAGCTAAAAAACAAGGAAATACAATAAGAAGACAAAATAAGAAGGAAAGGGAAAAATACAGCACAGGAGTTGGGGGGAAGAACAAGCCAAGTTCAAGATATGGAGATCAGCATGATTTTTGCCTTTGAGCAACCCACTAGCTAAGGCAAAAAAGGAAACTCACTGCATAACTCTTACCTATGAAAAAAGAAGAAATCTACTAGGGGCAGATAGTTTTGTGGGATTTTGCTGTTTTCTTTTACCTCCTTTCCCAGTATTTGATTCTGAGATATTTCTCAACTTGGATCCCAAATAAAGCTTATTGAATGTTGTAATGTTTCACTGTTTTTTTAAAAAATGGCTTTAACATATAAAAGTACAATTTATGGATCCTTTTTGTTCATGTTCATGACTTACATTGATAATGTAATCCAAAATACATTTTTTATTTTGTATTTATTTATTTATTTATTTTTGAGACGGAGTCTCACTCTTCTGCCCAGGCTGGAGTGTAGTGGTGTGATCTTGGCTCACTGTAACCTCTGCTTCCTGGATTCAAGCGATTCTCCTGCCTCAGCCTCCTGAGTAGCTGGGACTACAAACATGTGCCACCATGCCTGGCTAGTTTTTATACAAAATACGTTTTTAAAGAAAAAAATTTTTTTTTTCTTTTTTTTTGAGACTATCGCCCGTTCTGTTGCCCAGGCTGGATTGCAATGGTGCAATCTTAGCTCACTGCAGCCTCTGCCTCCCAGGTTCAAGCAATTCTTGTACTCAGCATCCTGAGTAGCTGGAATTACAGGTGTGTGCCATCATGCCAAGCTAATTTTTGTATTTTTAGTAGAGATGAAATTTCTCCATTTGGCCAGGCTAGTCTCAAACTCCTGGCCTCAAGTGATTGGCTGACCTCAGCCTCCCAGAGTAGAAAATCTTTTTGAAAAATAAAATTCCAAATCTCAAAAGGCCCTATATAATTTTGGTGTTGGAAATTTACTTGTCAGTAAAAATGACTATTTACACAAATTATAAGCTTCCATATTAATGTATATGTGTGTGAAACCTGAAATTCAAATTATATTGTTTATGATAGGTAACAGCTTCTGAGATTCATCAGATGATATTTACCTTTAGGGCATATCTAAAAATAAAATGTAATACATGAAATCAGTGCTTTAATCTAATGATTCTTAAATGTTTTGGTCTCAGATCCCCTTTAAATTCTTAAAAAATATTGAAGAGCCCCAAGGAGCCTTCGTTTACATGGTTTTTGTCAATAGATATTTACCATATAAGACACTAAAACTGAGAATTCTTAAAAATAAAAAATAATAACATAGTATATAACATAGTATCTGTGACACTATGTTCATAAAATTTTAGAGAAAACTGAGATCAAAGGAAGCCAAAACAGTCTGGTCATAGTGGCTCATGCCTATAATCCCAGTGCTTTGGAAGGTTGAGGCAGAGGATCGCTGGATCTCAGGAGTTTGAGACCAGCCTGGACATGTATGGAGACTCTATCTCTACACAACAAAGCAAAAATTAGCTGGGTGTAGTGTCTTGCGCCTGTAGTCCTAACTACTCGGAAAGCTGAGGTGGGAGGATCCCTTGAGCCTGGGAGTTCTAAGTTACAGTGAATTATGATTGCACCACTGCCCTCCAACCTGGGTGATAGAGCAAGACCCTGTCACCCTCCAAAACAAACAAAAACCACTTTTTTCTCTGAGTGTGTAGATGGTTAGTGTACAGTCCTTGAAAACATTGCAAATGGTATAGCAATATATGAAGCAGCCAGTATGTGTCCTAGCTAATTTTATCAATCACCTCTCTTCCTAGACCAATCAAATATTTTTCAATATTTTGATCCATGCTTATTGTATAAATGAAGTTTTTTAAAGCTGGAAAATTCCACACATTTATATACTTACTATTGTTCTTAAAAATTATTATCATTATTTTGAGCAGAGTCTTGCTGTGTTGCCTAGACTGAAGTGCAGTGGTGTGATCTCGACTCTCTGCAACCTCCGCCCTCCAGGCTCAAGCAATTCTCGTGCTTCAGCCTCCCAAGTCGCTGGGATTACAGGTGTGCGCTACCACGCTGGCTAATTTTTGTAGTTTTAGTAGAGATGGGGTTTCGCCATGTTGGCCAGGCTGGTCTCAAAGTCCTGGCCTCAAGTGATCCACCTGTCTCGGCCTCCCAAAATGTTGGGATTACAGGTGGGAGCCACTGCTCCCAGCCTACATTAAATTTTAAAGTCTTTCTATGTCAGGCCATATACCCAATCGAATTCTTTTTTTCTGTGAACTTTTTTGTTATACTTGTAGCCTTCCTACCCCAGATGATTTCCAAGCAAATTGACATTCTGTAATTTCCAATATTACTATTTCAGTATTTTACAAAATGGTTGCAGTTTAATTGTTGTTCCTTTTTTATTTATTAGCTTGCATATTTCTATAGAGAGTTTACCCCACATCAACCATTTGGATTCCCTGAAGTAAAGATGGTACAGGAAAGGGAGATACCTTGAAATACTAGGTTCCTTAGCATCCTCAAAGTTGACCAATGATATTTTTTGCTTGTTTGGTTGTTGTTTGTTTCTGTGTCTTCATGGACTCATGGTTTTAAGCATATTTGTGTTTTAATCATCACTGTTATTATTCTTATTGATGTTCCTGTTATTCCATTTTAGATTAGTGGGAGCTTATTTAGTTTGCTATCTGTGTCCTTTGTCATGTCCTTAGATAATCCTAATCCTAATCCTAATCCTGGTTCATCATAGACATTTCCTGCAGCAAACCTGGAATCAGCCATTTCACCAAGGAGCTCTCTGATTCCATTGAAGGAAAATATAGTATAGGTACAATCTGGGCATTAGGTGATACTTGTTGCTTCTGGGTTGGCTATTGTTTCTAGCCTCCTAAGTGTGTATGACTCTTCTAATTTGAATTAATGACTATGGGGCTAAACCTCTAGTTCTTAAATCTGCTTTTCCTTTAAGTCGTGCCAAAAATCTGAACATCACAAACATAGTCATTTCATTTACCCCATAATACACACATACAACATTGTCAGAATAACAGTACCAACACCATCTCCAACAATATGCCTACTGAAATATTTTAGGTAATCTGCCTCCAGCCTCCCGGGTAGCTGGGACTGCAGGTGCACACCACCATCCCTGGCTAATTTTTTTTTTTTTTTTGAGACAGAGTCTCGCTGTCTCCCAGGCTGGAGCGCAGTGGCGCGATCTCAGCTCACTGCAAGCTCCGCCTCCCGGGGTCACACCATTCTTCTCCTGCCTCAGTCTCCTGAGTAGCTGGGGCTACAGGCGCCTGCCAGCACGCCCGGCTAATTTTTTGTGTTTTTAGTAGAGACGGGGTTTCACTGTGTCAGCCAGGATGGTCTCAATCTCCTGACCTCGTGACCCACCCGCCTCGGCCTCCCAAAGTGCTGGGATTACAGGCGTGAGCCACCGTGCCTGGCCTTTTATTTTTTTTATTTTTTTTATTTTTTATTTAAGAGACTGGGTCCTCCTATGTTACCCCGGCTGGTCTGAAACTTCTGGCCTCAAACCGTTCTCCTGCCTTTGCTTTCCAAAGTGCAGAGATTACAGGCATGAGCCACTGCGTCTGGCCTATCCTTTATTTATTCCACCACAGTTGCATCTACAAATTACTTTGTTGTAAAGTCCCTTGGAATAGTTTCTTCTGTGGCATTGTGTTACCAGTTAGATGCACCTTCGATTCATTTAACTTTATTTCAATTTTTAAGGTTTGCTTTTTAGATTTAGTTTTGTTTTATTATACATATATGAAGTATTTCCATGGTTCCAAAGTTAAATGTACAAAGCAGGTATGTTCAAAGAAGTCTAGTTTCTGTCTCTGTCCCATCCAACCTATTGTCTTCTTCCCCTTATAATAATTTACATTTTTACCTTTATGGTTTATCTTCTGATTTTTAAAAATATAAGCATGAATATTTCTATTCCTGTCTTTTAGCATACTTTTAGCCATCTTGCTTTTTTCCTGTATAACACTACATGTATCTCATTCTTTTTTAATTGCTGCAGAATTTTTCATTACATAGGTATACTGCAATTTATTTATCTGATGCTGTATTGATGAACATTTAAATGATTTCCAGATTTTAGGAATGGTGATGATTGAATTCTCTGTACATATGTCTTTTTTACTTGATACACTCCATCAAGCAACTATTTAAGTGACTGACTGTGGTGCTGTGCAAGCAGTTATATAAAGAAAACAGTGGTGACTGAGTCTGAAAACAGCTTAATATTATCATGTTTTCTCACACGTTATTTATTTTTATTGAGGAAAAGCAACATGGAGTTTAGTGATTATTTTTGAAAGACATAACCTATTTCTAATTCTAAAGAATGGTTAATATCTGTGTTTGGTTGCTTATAGGGTAGAAGGGATAAAATTGCCTTGTTCAACTTAGAACTTACTGTGTCATTTTAGTGAGGCATTGTGACTTCAAATAGACCCAATGCTTGAAATAGACTGGGTCATTGAATTCCAGCTGTAGCCCTCCTTCAGAACAGTTGAGCACTGAAGTCCTGGGCTGAAAATATGGCTTTTTTTTGAGATGGAGTCTAGCTCTGTTGCCCAGGCTGGAGTGCAATGGCACGCTCTCAGCTCACTGCCACCTCCACTTCCCAGGTTCAAGTGATTCTCCTGCCTCAGCTTCCCAAGTAACTGGGATTACAGACACCCACCACCACGCCCGGCTAATTTTTGTATTTTTAGTAGAGATGTGGTTTCGCTGTGTTGGCCAGACTGGTCTCGAACTCCTGACCTCGTGACCCGCCTCGGCCTCCCGAAGTGTTGGGATTGCAAGCATGAGCCACCGCGCCCGTTCGATGATACGGCATTTTAAAGCAACAATCCTAGTAGAACAGAAGAGAGGTGTTGACTAGTAAGGAATTTAGGTTTAGAAGTACATTCTTAGCAAGAGAGGTGAGACTTACCTTCTTGTGTTTTAGTATAGTGAGTTCTAGATCAAATCTATTACTCTTGTTAATCTCCTAACTTCCTACACTATATTCACTAGAGGACACTTTTCCCTTACACAGTAAAGAAAGAGCCTCTGGATTCTACCAGTGGAATTGGAGCTCTCCAAACCTGCATATTAAAAGGCCTATAAGTTTTAGGGAGTCCCTTTGTCCACATGATTATTCTATAATACATTGTATTTATGGACATGGTATTATTATATACAGATCCTGTCTTTTAAAGAACATTATAATCTACTTAACTGCTAGGACCAGAGAATGATAATTCAAACCATATTGTCTTATAGAAGACATATGTAAAAGTTAGTTATGTGTACCAACTGAAGTTCAAATTTGATTCAATTTAAAACAATCTGGGTCAGATTTTATATAGTTTGTGGACCCTTTGCATTCAAATCTCAAGGTTCTTATTAAAATGCAGATCTTGGCTGGGCACGGTGGCTCACACCTGTAATCCCAGCACTTTGGGAGCCCGAGGCAGGTGGATCATTTGAGCTCAGAAGTTCAAGACCATCCTAGCCAACATAACGAGGCCCTGCCTCTTTTATTAAAAGAAAAAAACTTTTTAAATAAAAAATAAAAGCAGATCTTGGGTAAAGACATGTAGTCTGGTTTACAGGTATAACAACTGTCTATAATGTAGTGATTTTGCCCCAGACTAGTTCAGAAATTACTGTTCTATGTATGGTAAATGAGAAAATTTGCTAGATTCTAGAATTGTGGCTTCTATTCGTAGTTGGAAAAATGAAGCATAAACATTTCTAATTTCAGATCAACAGCAAAAAGAAAGAATCAGCATGGGAAATGACAAAAAGTTTGTATGATGCGTGGTCAGGATGGCTAGTAGTAACACTAACAGGATTGGCATCAGGTAAAGAAAATTTTTCAAGAAATCCTTTTTTAGTTAATAGAAGTATAAATTGTTCTTCCCTCCTTCCCTCAATTTTTTCTCAGGTACCATTGGATTTTAAAAAGCATTTGTTTCTTTTCTTCAAAAAATCTTAAATGTAAGACTACGAGGCAGGAGGCTTGCACGTCTAGTCTTGGCTCTGTCACTTTACGTGTTTATCCAGTTTGGTTGATCTTTCTAGACTCAGTTTCTATATCTGTAAAATAAGTGTTTTGGATCAGATGATCAACAAAGTATCTTTTGATGTTAACATCATAATGAATAGCTAATATTTATTGTTTCCTATGTGTCGTACACTGTTCTAAAAACTTTATATGTATTTAAACCTCACTGCAATCCTATGGTGCCACCGCTGTCATTATCACCATTTTACAGATTAGGAGACTGAAGCAGAAGAAAAGTAACTTAGTCTGACTGAGGTCATACAGCTTAGTAAATGGCTAAACCAGGATTTGAATTAAAGCCTTCTAGCTCAAGACCTATCCCCTTCATCATGCTATGCAGCATGGCCACAGAGTTCCAATGTGTGAGATTTTAAGAAAGAGCTGTTAAGGACCTGAAAACAACTATTAAGCACTGTTATAATCACTTTCAGCTTCCATGATGGAAGATTATGTTTAGAAGACCACAAAAATTAAAATTCTTGTAGAGAATAAAGTACTGATAATTCTAATTGGCATACATAATAATTTTATGGTCTCTGTGTATGTAACCCACTGATCTTTTTATATAAGGACCCAGATTTGACCTTAAATTTGTATGTTTTTTATATTCTCACTGTAAAATAATCTTGATATACGGTTTTCTGTAATTTAAGAGAAATATAAATATTACTCCTATGAGTTTCAGTAATTGTTTCTAATGGACATGAAATTTTAATGAGATTGACATCATTCATAAGTCTGTTAATTATCGATTGAAAATTAGATTTGTGAACCTCCTGCCTTTTGAAGATATTTTAGTATCTTTTAAACACTGTTTTTCCAATCACAATTAATTTGAATGATGTAACTTTTTAAAATTCCAAACAAAAATAGCAATTTTATTGTAAAAAAACTGTTTACAGTTTTAAAATATGTTTATAACTAAAATTCGAAGATCTTAAATTTATATGTAGTTCGTAAATGACCCTTTATTTAGAAGTCTCCTGCTTTCCACTTGCCTTTTAACTAGATTGTTCTCGACTCCCAAAAAAATTGACTTTTTTTTTTTTTCACCATCCCCAACATATTTTTACAGGGGCGTTGGCCGGATTAATAGACATTGCTGCCGATTGGATGACTGACCTAAAGGAGGGCATTTGCCTTAGTGCATTGTGGTACAACCACGAACAGTGCTGTTGGGGATCTAATGAAACAACATTTGAAGAGAGGGATAAATGTCCACAGTGGAAAACATGGGCAGAATTAATCATAGGTCAAGCAGAGGTAAGTCTTGCTTTGTCTCAAGGTGAATTAATAATTGATATAGCAAAATGTTTCCAGTTCATTTAATTATAGAATTAATCACATATTAGATGATTGCATACACATTAAATGGATCCACCCTCAACACACTGCAGCAAGAAAGAATTAAGTGCAGTATTGTTTCAAGAAGCTTTTGTATTAGTTAACTACATAGTCGTATAACAAATCCTCTGGATTGTGATGCAAATATATTTGAGCTGTAGTAGAAAAGAAGTGATAGTTATTGCAGTAAGATCTGTGTAAAGTTACTAAGAAGTCAAGTTATTAAAACTAATGTATTACTAAGATTGGGAAGTTTGAATTATGAAAGTATGATTATCAAATAATTTAGTAAAATCAACCTTTTACGCAGAGATACATTGAAGACAACAGATTTTTATTTGTGGCATTATAGCATTTACTTGATTAATTTACTATGATCTACAAAGAACATTTTAGAACTTAGGATATTATATGTATATTTTTTACATGATGACATGGATATATTTTTTAAATTTTGTTTTAGCTGAACTTGAGAGTTAAATTGTGTATATTTGCGCTAACATGAGTAGTATGCTGTTTCTCACCTGGCTTAATTGAATTGAGTTTAATGATCTTCTGGAAAGTTGCAGCAGAATGAAATCTGAGTGCTGTTACAATTTGTTTTCACCATTGTTTCCAAAAAGTGGTTTGTAGGCAGAGATTGAGTATAGCTGAGATGTCTTGGTCCCAAGACTTTAGGGATTAGGAAAAAGATTAAATGGGCTCACGACTCCTTGTATATATAGGCATTAATTTTTGGATTCTACTTAAATATTTTGTTCATATAAAGTTTTCATTATTGTGGAAATAAACCAGGAGACTTTTTCACATTTTACTGAAGGTTCTTTTCTTTTCTTTTTTTTTGGTGGCGGGGGCGGAGTCTTACTCTGTTGCCCAGGCTGGAGTGCAGTGGCATGATATCGGCTCACTGCAACCTCTGTTTCTGGAGGTTAAGCGATTCTTCTGCCTCAGCCTCCCGGGTAGCTGGTATTACAGGCGCGCGCCACCATGCCTGGTTAATTTTTGTATGTTTAGTAGCGACGGGGTTTCACCATGTTGGCCAAGCTAGTCTTGAACTCCTGACCTCAGGTTATCCACCCGCCTCAACCTCCCAGTGCTGGGATTACAGGCGTGAGCCACCATGCCTGGCCATTTACTGAAGTTTCTTGACAAGCATTTGCATTAGAGGTGCAATGTAAATTAAATTCATACTCTTGAACTATTTTCTTTTTAGGGTCCTGGTTCTTACATCATGAACTATATCATGTACATCTTCTGGGCCTTGAGTTTTGCCTTTCTTGCAGTTTCCCTGGTAAAGGTATTTGCTCCATATGCCTGTGGCTCTGGAATTCCAGAGGTAAGCCAAGTAATATTTAGTGTCATTAAACATTATTATGGTGCTTAACTTTTTGCCCTTAGTGATAATAGAAGTTGGCTTTTCTGGAGGGAGGGGATAGTTTGTTCATAGTATGAAAAAATTGTTTTAAAGTATAAGCTTTAAAATTGAAAAATTTGAAAATTATTGTTCCCTATAGTCATTTGATCATTTACTATGGAGGTTGATTTTTTTTTCTCTCACCACTAATTTAACACATGACTAGGCACATTTTCAGAAGATGTAGTTAAACATCAAGAGCCTGGAAGAACTGTCTTGTGACCTAACATTCCTTGATGGATTAGTTGTTATTTTGCTATTGTGACCCTGATTTTTTTTTTTTTTTTTGAGAGTGAGTTTTGCTCTGTCACCCAGGTGGGAGTGCAGTGGCACTATCTCAGCTCATCGCAACCTCTGCGTCCCAGGCTCAAGCAATTCTTGTGTCTTAGCCTCCTGAGTAGCTGTAATTGCAGGCACGTGTCACAACGGCCAGCTAATTTTTCAATTTTTTTTTTTTTTTAGTAGAGATAGGGTTTCACCATGTTGGCCAGGCTGGTCTCAAACTCCTGACCTCAAGTGATCACCTGCCTCAGCCTCCCAAAGTGCTGGAATTACAGGTGTGAGCCACCGCACCTGGCTATGACCCTGATTTTGATTCATTCATTCTCTTTTTATAATTACCTTTTGATTAGATGTTAGTTATTCTTGAATTTGGCCATTTTATACTTCGAGAAAGTGGTTAATCACAGTGGGTCAATAATATAAACTTTTGGGTGTTATTTTTCATCACAATAGAATAGAGTTATACAGAGGATTGACTGAACTTGTTTTGAACTTGTTTCTTTTCTCTTTTATTTTTCTGTAGTTAAATAAGTTACCAACTTTTTCCTAATACGTTTCTTTTTAAAATGGAATTGTAGTGATCTTTAAGGTTGTATTAAGAATATCTTTCATAAAAAGCAATATGAGGCAGTATATAACAGTTGTCATTCATCCTTCTTGATATATAAAAAACTATTCCACATAATTATAGTACTTAGAGAAAACATAATATTATTATTTCTAACATAATGTCCAAAATATATTTAAAATATTATGCTTATTTTTACAACAGAAATATTCAAATTTGCCCTTTTTTTTGCTTATGTAATTATAATCCTTATAATTAAGGTCTGTATTCATTTTAACACGGCCTGATGTTTTGATTTTGTTCCTGAGATGGAGTTACCCTCTCTCCTTTCTTGGGTAGAGAATTAGATTATAATATCAATTTATTATATGTAGCATAATAGGTAAAGTTTTTTAAAAATTAACTGTAAATGTTTCTGTAGGCTGCTAAAATTTGCAAGGTCATTTTTGTGCATAAAACAAGAAAATAACTTGGATTTGTTATATTCTTATGTTTCTTAAAGGACATTAAGCTGCCTTAATCTTTGCCTTGTAGATTAAAACTATTTTAAGTGGATTCATCATCAGAGGTTACTTGGGAAAATGGACTTTAATGATTAAAACCATCACATTAGTCCTGGCTGTGGCATCAGGTTTGAGTTTAGGAAAAGAAGGTCCCCTGGTACATGTTGCCTGTTGCTGCGGAAATATCTTTTCCTACCTCTTTCCAAAGTATAGCACAAATGAAGCTAAGAAAAGGGAGGTAAGTGTCTTTTGTAGTTAATTTGACTGAAAAATGTATATTGTATAGTGTTTATTTAAGTAAAGAATTTCTTTTTTTTTTTTGAGACAGAGTCTCGCTCTGTCGCCCAGGCTGGAGTGCAGTGGCCGGATCTCAGCTCACTGCAAGCTCCGCCTCCCGGGTTCCCGCCATTCTCCTGCCTCAGCCTCCCGAGTAGCTGGGACTACAGGCACCCGCCACCTCGCCCGGCTAGTTTTTTTGTATTTTTTGGTAGAGATGGGGTTTCACCGGGTTAGCCAGGATGGTCTGGATCTCCTGACCTCGTGATCCGCCTGTCTCGGCCTCCCAAAGTGCTGGGATTACAGGCTTGAGCCACCGCACCCGGCCTAAGTAAAGAATTTCTTAGTGTAAAAATAATAAATTCTGTATTCAGATAAAAAATGTTGAGATTAATGTGTGCTGCTTTTGTTTTTCCTGAATACTCTATAACATCTTTCTGGAATCCATTCCCAGTGCTGCTCAGTTAGTCTTACATTTTAGAGACACTTTATAGATAGACAGCTGGTGTCCATTGGGTTTCAGTTGCATTTCATGAAGATCTTCCTGTTTTCACTTTACCTTACATCTTTCCTCTTCGGAAATGTTTTCTAAGCTTAGCTTTGTTTTTTACTCTTACTTTCAACATTAAGAGGTTGGGAAACCTTAATAGCTGTGTTTTCCTCCTGGAGGCAGCATCTGGTGCCAGTGTCAGTGATGTGTGATATGAAAAATGCCTTCCAGCGCCGTGGGGAAGTTCTGAGGGCCTTTAGAAGCTCTTGAAGTTTAAATCAGAAATTCACATTAAAAAGATTGCAAGAAATCCTTTTCATTTGATTGTTTAAGGCAATTTCCTTTACCGTTTCTTTAGGCCAGCCTGAGATCTTCTACAAGACCTTGAAACCTTATATATATTATGTATTTCCTCTGATGTTTCTAGATCGCTCTGAGTATTTTCCTGAGTCCTTTATATTAGCTCTAGACTTTGGGAGCCCAGTCCCTTCCTATTTTCCAAATCTAAATCTACAGCCCCAGATGGTACAGAGATCTTTGGATTTTTAAGATATGATTTTTTTAAAAACCTCTCAAATACTGGCAGAACCTTTTCATCTTGTTGGGTTTTTTTTTAATGTTGAGTTTCATCTTGTTGGGTTTTTTTTCATCTTGTTGGGTTTTTTTTTGATGTACAAAAAAGTAGAATATTGTATCAAACTGTTTGATCTTCAGTTGAAATAATTCTAGTACATTTTAACGTTCACGTTAAAATATAGTCCTTGCATTGGCCATAGATATCCCAAAAGTGGGATTCTTCAGATCATCATAGTTTCATCTCTGAATAATTGTGGTTCCAGTACTTTACTATACAACAAAAATAGCTAGCATTATTGATTCCTTTCTATGTATCTAGTACTGTGGCAGATACTTTACTTGGATTTAGAACTTAATTTCACAGTAATTTATTAATATGACCCTGTTATCCTCATTTAGAGATTAGGAAACTAGTGCTGAAAACAGCTAACTAACTTGCCCAAGACCACATACCTAGTTAGTGGCGGAACGTGGATTAAAATTCGTTTATCTTTGACTCCAAAGTCTGTGGTTTTATGTACTACATTACTGCCCTTGCGACTGTGCGGGTATGTATTTGTGTGTGTTCAAAGCAAAACTCAAAACCATCCTGTAGCGTAGCAAGTTAGTGGCTAAGATGGAGCTAGAGCACCTGCCTCCTCAATTCAGTTCTGTTACTTTCTGCTGTACCTTTATATTTTTTGGTAAGACTTTTATTCTAAATTCAAAAAATACAATTAGATGTTTAGAAATTAAGTTTACCTAAATATTAATGTTCGTACTGTAATGATTAATGTTAAGATGTTGTTATTCTGTTACCTTAGTGTATATGTAAATGGCAAGAATTCAGTTAGTTGAAAGCATTAAGGTCCCATAGTTTTGTGTAGACAAGAGGAGAGAGCATTGATATTTTTAAATTAAATGCTTCTTAGATACGTATGAAATGGATTAAAACATGTATATGAGTTTTAGATACATAGGTGTTAGTTTGGTTGTAAATGCAGGATCAGGACAGTCAAATAAATATGTTTGCATTCCTTTTAGTGGGGGGAAGAAAAGGAGGTTAAATTTGCTCCCTTTCCTCCCCAAATAAGCAGAGTCTACATTCTAATGCCAACAATTTAATTAAAACAAATATTTATTTATTTTTAATTCACCAAACTTTTATAAAGTATTTACTGGATGCCAGGCACTGTTCTGAGCACTTTCTATATATTTACTCAATCCTTAAGAGCTAAGTAGTATTATCACGTTTCCATTTTAGAGAAGAGAAAACTGAGGCACGTAGAGATTATCTACCTGTAATCATACAGCAAGTAAGTAGCAGAGCCATGATTTCAACACAGCAGCCTGACTATGGAGTTCATGATCTTAACCATTTACAGCTTAATTCTGATTACTTATAATTTCTCTTCTGGAAATGTAACAATTGACCATTTGAATAAATACTTTAGGTAGCCTTGGATATTTGCTGGATTAAAGTAGTGAAAGGAATACAGACTCTTGTCTAGGCGTGTTGGCTCACACCTGTAATCCCAGCACTTTGGGAGGTAGAGGCAGGTGAATCACTTAAGGTCAGGAGTTCGAGACCAGCCTGGCCAACATGGTGAAACCCAGTCTCTACTAAAAATACAAAAATTAGCCGGGCACGGTGGCAGATGCCTGTAATCCCAGCTACTGGGGAGGCCGAGGCAGGAGAATCAGTTGAACCTGGGAGGTGGAGGTTGCAGTGAGTCTAGACTGTGCCATTGCACTCCAACCTGAGACGAGAGAAACTCTGTCTCCAAAAAAAATAAAGGAATACAGACTCCGAAAAATAATTACAAATAAAACCGTAGTGAAATTATAGGTGTAGTTGGCTTCATACTGGTGGGAAGCAGACCACTACCAATTAATAGACTGGGGAGCTGGAGAGAGGACATGGAAGAGTGTCCTTGGATTTTTCTTTTCCTTTAAATTTTTGTAGAGGTGTTAGTTGGTGAGGCTGTAACTTGAGGAGCTGTTGTATGTGCTTTCAGAATGAGCCTCTCTAGACTGACAGTATTTTAGCAGTATTTCACAGGGCATAGGGTAGTGAAAATATAGGGGATCTTACAAGGTCTTCAGTTCCCTGCGTATCTTGCTAGGATTTGGAATAGAGTATTGATGGTGGAGCAGTTAGCTTTAAAATTTAAAATCCTATTTAAAAATAGCCGCACATCCCAGTTACTGCCCTCCCCTCTTATCTACACAAGCATACATCTTGAAAATTGTCTATATTCATGGCTTCCTCTTCTTTACACCCTATTCACGTTAGTATATCTGGCAAAAAAATTTTTTAACTGAATAGTAAATGCGTGACTGACCTTTCAATTAAAGCACAGGAGAAAGAAACAAATCTTAATAGAAGAAATGAATACTTGCCCTTTGCTTAGGGAGCAAGGAAACATGAAAATTAAGTTCAGAAAATCCATTTGGAAAATTCAAGTAACATGAAGAATTTTTATTTGGTATGTGTGAATTTCTGCGAAATTATGAAATAAGCCATATTCTCTTTCTAGGTGCTATCAGCTGCCTCAGCTGCAGGGGTTTCTGTAGCTTTTGGTGCACCAATTGGAGGAGTTCTTTTTAGCCTGGAGGAGGTAGGTGAAAAGAATACAACAATTAAAGCTATATATAATTACCATTGCAAATATATTTCACACATATTTCACACATTTCAGTTTTATAGGTGATGTAATAGGTAAAGACTTTGTTTTCAAATTTAGTTTTCTAAAGTCGTTTTCCACTAATTCTTACATAAAAAGTAAATGTTATTCATGCTCCATACCTGGAGGAAACATTTGTTTTATTTATGTATAAATATTAGTAATTATTTAAAATCTAACTTTACTTTGTTGACGTATTTAAAAGTAAGACGTTGTGAATTTGACTTAATAGAGGACACGTGAAACAATCTATTTCCATTGGCTAATTTCTGTATTTTTAGCAGAGATGGGGTTTCGCCACGTTGGCCAGGCTGTTTGTGTGTGTGTGTGTGTGTTTTGTTTTTTTGTTGTTGTTGTTGAGATGGAGTTTCGCTCTTGTTGCCCAGGCTGGAGTGCAATAGCGCGATCTTGGCTCGCTGCAACCTCCGCCTCCCGGGTTCAAATGATTCTCCTGCCTCAGCTTCCCAAGCAGTTTTTGTTTAAAAAATTTTAATCAAGTCCTACGTTGTGTTTTAAAGTTTTTCCCATGTGATTATTTCTGATACAGTTACTGCTGTTTAAGGAAATAATTTTAGTCACTTCAGTGGATTATTTTGTTTTTGTTTTCTTTTCACATAAAAATGTAACCAGGAATTTTTTTTAAGTATTTTTTTGACAAATAATAATTGTTTATGTTTATGGGGTATAATTTGATGTGTCTATACATGTATACATTGTGGAATATTCAAATCAGAGTGATTAGCAAATCCCTCAGATATTTATTATGTCCTTGTGGTTGTGAGAACATTTAAAATCCTCTCTTTTAGCTATTTTGAAATATATAATACATATTATTAACTGTAGTCACTTTACTGTTAAATAGAACACCAGAACTTATTCGTCCTCTGTAAGTTCATAACCATTGACTAGCGTCTCCCCTTTCCCTGTTCACTTCCCCAACCCCCAGCCTCTGGTAACCCCTCTTCTACTCTCTACTTCTGTGAATTTAGCTCTTTTAGTTCAAGAATGTTTTTAAATTTACTTTTTTCTTTAGTTGTTTGTATTCTTTTTTCTTTTTTTAATGTAGAAGAGGCAAATTAAATGCATTATAAGCTAACAGGAGTTGGTGATGGTACATTTATTTTTAACTACCATGATTGAATTGAAGGTGAAACTCATTTTGAAAATAAAACAGGGCTAGGTATTCTAAATATTTATTGGACATTCATGATCAGTTGATACTGTGAATTTGTAATGATGATCACCATCTCCAAAAATAATAATAACATCAATTTTTCTTATTACCATAAAATCCATTACATGTAAGTTATAACTACAGCAAAATTTAGAGCTAGGATATTTACCATTCAAGTTACAATATATCAGAAACATCTTATAAAATTATAGCATTAATTTTTCTTTTCCTTTTCTTTTTTTTAGGTTAGCTATTATTTTCCTCTCAAAACTTTATGGAGATCATTTTTTGCTGCTTTAGTGGCTGCATTTGTTTTGAGGTCCATCAATCCATTTGGTAACAGCCGTCTGGTCCTTTTTTATGTGGAGTATCATACACCATGGTACCTTTTTGAACTGTTTCCTTTTATTCTCCTAGGGGTATTTGGAGGGCTTTGGGGAGCCTTTTTCATTAGGGCAAATATTGCCTGGTGTCGTCGACGCAAGTCCACCAAATTTGGAAAGTATCCCGTTCTGGAAGTCATTATTGTTGCAGCCATTACTGCTGTGATAGCCTTCCCTAATCCATACACTAGGCTAAACACCAGTGAACTGATCAAAGAGCTTTTTACAGACTGTGGTCCCCTGGAATCCTCTTCTCTTTGTGACTACAGAAATGACATGAATGCCAGTAAAATTGTCGATGATATTCCTGATCGTCCAGCAGGCATTGGAGTATATTCAGCTATATGGCAGTTATGCCTGGCACTCATATTTAAAATCATAATGACAGTATTCACTTTTGGCATCAAGGTAAGTGCTAATGTAAGGTGATATTTGGGTAATCATGGCATGTTCAAAACTTGTATGTGAAATGAGAGAGGTTGTTGTTTCATAAGTGACTGAAAAAAGTACTTATCTTTTGAGTTTAATTTTAAGTAATGAAAAAGATAATTCCTTAGCATATGTTGTTGACCATGTTATCTGTTGCTATTTAACAAATCGCCCCCAAACCTTAGCAGCTTAAGGTAACTACTTATTTTGTTCTTAATATTGGGTCAACGACTTGGGAAGGGCTCAACTGGGCATTTTTTGCTTGTGGTGTTTCATATAGTTGTTATTAGACATGGCGAGGGCTCATCATCTCAAAGCTTCTTTCATTTCCTTTTTAAAAAACTTTTTGTGGGTACACAGTAGCTATATATAGTTTTGGGGTACATGAAATCTTTTGAGAGGGGCATGCAGTGCATAATAATCTCAGAGTAAATGGAGTGTCCAACACCTCAAGCATTTATCCCTTGTGTTACAAACAATCCAATTATACTGTTAATTATTTTTGAGTGTACAATTAAATTATTATTGAGTATAGTTCAAAGACGTCTTCATTCATGACTAGGCTGAAAAGATTCATACACCTGGGCTCCTGGGATCAATCATGCGTACTCTCTCTCTCATGCTTACTCCCGCTCTCTCTCTCTCTCTTTCTCTAGCTTTCTTTTTCCTCTCTGTGGTTTTTCTAAGGTGGTGGCCTCAGGGAATTAGATTTCTTGTATCGTAGCTCAGGATTCCCAAGAGGGCTGTTTTTAATGTAGCCAAAGAAGTCTTGCAGCATGACTTGCTTTATTCTATTCATTGAGGCAGTCCCAGAGGCCCACCCACATTCACAGGAGGGACATATACTTACTGGGACAAGTGTCAGAGCATTCATGATCATGTTTTAAAACCACTTTTATTAGTTTCCTATTGCTGCTGTAATAAATTACCACAACTTAATGGCTTAAAAGCCACACAAATTTATTATCTTACAGTTCTGCAGATCAAAAGTCTGAAATGGATCTCACTGTGCTAAAATTAAGGTGTTCATAGGGCATTCTGGAGGCTGTAGGAGAGAGTCTGTTTTTTGCCTTTTCTGGCTATTAGAAGCTGTCAGCGTTCCTTGGCTCCTGGCCCTCTGTTTGCATCTTCAAAGCCAGCAATGGCTGGTCAAGTCTTTCTCTTGTCTCATCACTCTGACACAAACTCTGCTAAATCTCCCTTCCACATTTGAAAAACCTTTGTGATTACTTTAGGCCCACCCAGATAAATCAGAAAATAATCTCCTTTTTTAAAGTCAGCTGCTTTGAAACTTTCTTTCTGCAACCTTAATTCCTCTTTGCCATGCAACGTAATGTAATCACAGGTTCTGGAAATTAATTTGTGGACATCTTTGAGGAGCCGTTATTCTGCCGCATAGCAGTATTGGGTGTTAGCTTGAAAGGACACTGCAGACTCAGTTGAATTACTAGATCTATAAATACGTGCCTTTTTCCGTCAAGAAATTAAGGCAGCTGGGCCTTATGCCCTGGGACGTTGCTTCTTTTGGATTTATAAAATAACAAACTTTGTTGATTAATGGTCCATCAGTAAATATAATTTCTTATATGACTATCAGTGATATATATGGGGAAGCACATATCAGCTTATTCTTGTTCTTTAAATTACTGCCCCTGTACTTCATGTAATAGTATTTGCTAGTGATAATATGCTTTTACAGATGTAAATTAATGTGGAATAACAGCTTTGTTTCTACAAAATTAGAGTGGTATTAGTTTTTAGGTCTCTTTTCTCTTGTCCTAAGTCTGTAGTCCACTGAGTATCAAGAGTTAAAAAATACGAACAAGGCCTGCCGGGCGCAGTGACTCGCACCTGTAATCCCGAGCCCTTTGGGAGGCGAGGCGGGGTGATCACGAGGTCAGGAGATCGCAGACTATCCGGCTAACACAGTGAAACCCCGTCTCTACTAAAAATACAAAAATTAGCCAGGCGTGGTGGCAGGTGCCTGTAATCCCAGCTACTTGGGAGGCTGAAGCAGGAAAATCACTTCAGCCCAGGGGCGGAGTTGCAATGAGCCAAGTTCATGCCACTGCACTCCAGCCCAGGTGACAGGGTGAGACACTGTCTCAAAAATAATAAGTAGAAAATAATAAATACAATAATGATAGAAAACCTTAAAGTTTTACCTTTTCTTAGGGAATCAAGTTAAAAGAGCTGTTAAGCTCTTTTTGTGCCGGTAAGTAAGTGTTGGGTAAATCCCAACTTTCTCACAGTCATTGAACTACAAGAAGCTGGAGGCAGTTGGCAGGCCTTTGTGTAAGTCCCACCTTTGACTCAGCTCTGGCTGAAGGATCCAACCTGGCAAGGAGTGTAAAACACACTTTGATTTTTTTCTATTGTGTATTGTTTTAATGATCCTAAAAGACTCAAACATGCCATCATTTTGAGTTTGGCTCATTTCATATTCAGAGGAGTTATTACTCTTCCCGTATTTTTTTTTTTTTTTTTTTTTTGAGACAGGACTCTCACCTTTTCGCCCAGACTAGAGGGCAGTGTTGCAGTCTTGGCTCACTGCAACCCTCCCTCCCAGGTTCAAGTGATTCTCCTGCCTCAGCCTCCCAAGTAGCTGGGATTACAGGTGTGTGCCATCACGCCCAGCTGATTTTTGTATTTTTAGTAGAGATGTGGTTTCGTCATGTTAGCCAGGCTGGTCTGGTACTCCTGACCTCAGGTGATCCTTTGGAGGCCTTGGCTCTGAAAAGTGCTGGGATTATAGGCGTGAGCACCGAACCTAACCTCTTTTCAGTAGTCTTTAAATAGATCTTAACTTATGGTGCTTCTTATCCCTATTTATTATCCTCATTAAATTTAATCAATAAATGTTCTCTTTTTAATTGATTCATATAAATAGAGTTGCCTGACAGATACAGGTTCAGTTCAGAGCACCACAATAAAGTGAATATCATAATAAAGCGAGGCACATAAAAGTCTTAGCTTCTTAGTGCGTATAAAAGTTCTGTTTGCACTATGTTGTTGTCCGTTATGTGTACAATAGCATTATGTCTTTTAAAAAAGTAGCACTTTAATTTAAAAATACTTGATTTGCTAAGAAGTACTAATAGTAATCTGAGTCTTCAGTGAGTTGTAATCTGTTTTGCTTCTGTAGAGTCTTGCTTTGATATTGGTGCTTGCTGGAGGTAGGACTGGCTGTAGCAATTCTTAAGATAACAGTGAAATTTGCCATATTGATTGACACTTCCTTTCATGAAAGATTTATCTGTAGCATGTGATGCTGTTTGATACCATTTTACCTACAGTAGAACTTCTTTTCAAAATTAGAGTTATTCTCTCAAATCCTGCTATTGTAAGCTTTATCAAGTAAGTTTATGGAAAATTCAAAATCTTTTGTCCTTTTAACCGAGTGTTCAAAACATCTTTACCAGGAGCGGGTTCTACCTCAAGAAACCACTTTCTTTGCTCATCCATAATAAGTAACTCCTTATACATTTAAGTTTTTTTAATGAGATTCTAGCACTTCAGTCACATCTTTAGTCCACACTTATCATTCTAGTTCTCTTGCTGTTTCCACGACTCTGTGGTTACTTCCTCAACTGAAGTCTTGAACCCCTCAAAGTCATTCATGAGAGCTGGAATCATCAATTTCTTCCAAACTCCCATTAATATTAATATTTTGACCTCCTCCCATGAAACATAAATGTTCTGGATGGCATCTAGAATGGTGAATACTTTTTTGAACGTTTTCAATTTACTTTGCTCAGATCCATCCAAGAAATTATCCGTAGTGGGTTTCCAAGTTATCAGGGGCGAATCCATACAGATCTTCAGCAACCTCAACTCTTGCCTTCTCAGAGGAAAGAATTCTACTGAGGGACATAAGGCAGAAAAACAGACTGAGGCAAGTTTTAGAGCAGGAATGAACGTTTATGAAAAAGCTTTAGAGTGGGAATGAAAAGAAGTTAAAATACACTTGAAAGAGGGCCAAGCGGGCATCTTGGAAGACAAGGGCACCTTTGGCTTTGGACTCAGGGTTTTATATGTTGGCATATTTCCGACATCTCGCATCCCTATTCCATTGATTGTTCTTTCGGGGTGAGCTGCCCACATGCGCAGTAGCCTACTGGCACTTGGGAGGGGAGTGTGCGAAGTGTATTTACTGCAGTTGTATGCATGCTTACCTGAGGTGTTTGTCGCTTAGTGGCCGAATGTCCCTAGGAGGTTGTATTTCAGTTAAACTCCGCGATTTTGCCTATAAATGTGCGTGCCTGAGCCCACTCACCCAACTCCTGGGATCTTATCAGAAAGCTGCTGATAGCTAGTTTCAGGTGTTTCTATCTATTGGAAGACTGCCTTTCCCTGACACTGGCTGCAACCAATTATTATTTTAGAGAGACAGCATGAGAGCTATCTGACTATCATCCGCTGATGGTTGCCTGACATTCCTGGTGAGGTTGGGGGGGATCCCTCTCCTGCCTAGCTCATGCCTGAGTAGCTACCTGCTGTAACAAAAGCACTATCTATGGTAGCTGTAGCCATAGGAAATGCATTTCTTCAGTAAAACTTAAAAGTCAAAATTAGTCCTTAAAACAACATGAATCTCCTTGTACATCTCCATCAGAGCTCTTGGGATACCAGGTGCATTATTGGTGATGAGTAATATTTTAAAAGAAATCTTTTTGTCTGAGCAGTAGGTCTCAACAGTGGGCTTAAAATAGTCAGTAAACCATGCTGTAAACAGATACACTGTTATCCAGGCTTTGTTGTTCCATCTATAGAGCACAGAGAGAGTAGATTAGCATAATTTTTAAGGGCACTAGAATTTTCAGAATGGCAAACTAGCACTGGCTTCAACGTAAAGCCACCAACTGCGTTAGCCCCTAACAAGAGAGTCAGGCTGTCCGTTGCAGCTTTGAAACCAAGCACTGGCTTTTCCTCTCTAGCTGTGGAAGTCCTAGATAACATCTTCTTCCATAAAGGCTGTTTCATCTATGTTGAAAATCTGTTGTTTAATGTGGCCACCTTCATCAACAACCTCAGCTAGATCTTCTATATCACCTGCTACAGCTTCTACATCAGCACTTGCTGCTTCACCTTACACTTTTTTTTTTTTTTGAGATGGAGTCTCGCTCTGTCGCCCAGGCTGAAGTACAGTGACACGATCTCAGCTCACTGCAAGCTCCGCCTCCCAGGTTCATGCCATTCTCCTGCCTCAGCCTCCTGAGTAGCTGGGACTACAGGCGCCTGCCACCACACCCAGCTAATTTTTTTGTATTTTTAGTAGAGACAGGTTTTCACCATGTTAGCCAGGATGGTCTCAATCTCCTGACCTCGTGATCCGCCCACCTCAGCCTCCCAACACCTTACACTTTTTATTTTATGTTGCAGAGACAGCTTCTTTCCTTAAACCTCATGAACCAACCTCTGCGAGCTCCCAGTTTTTCTTCTGTAGCTTCCTCACCTCTTTAACCCCTGATAGACTTGAAGAAAGTGAGGACCTTGCTCTGGATTAGGTTTTGATTTAAGGGAATATTGTGGCTGGTTTGATCTTCTGTCTAGACCACTCAGGACTTTCTTCATATCAATAATAAGGCTATTTTACTTTTTTTAAATCATTATGTGTTCACTGAAATAGCACTTGTAATTTAATTCAAGAACTTTTCTTTTGAATTCATGACTTGGCTGACTGCGGCTAGAGGCTGAGATTTTGGCCCCCCCTCAGCTTTCAACATGCCTTCTTCACTAAGCTTAATTATTTTTAGCTTTCTTATTTTTTTTTTTTTTTTCTTGAGACAGAGTCTCGCTCTGTCGCCCAGTCTGGAGTGCAGTGGCCAGATCTCAGCTCACTGCAAACTCCGCCTCCCGGGTTTACGCCATTCTCCTGCCTCAGCTTCCCGAGTAGCTGGGACTACAGGTGCCCGCCACCTTGCCCGGCCACTTACTTATTTCTTTGAGACAGGATCTCGTTTTGTCACCCAGGCTGGAGTGCTCATTGCTCACTGTAGCCTTGAACTCCTGGGCTCAAGTGATCCTGCCGACTCAGCCTTGTGAGTGGCTGGGACTACAGGCATGTACCACCACACCAGCCTGTTTTTTGTTTTTTGGTTTTTTTTTGTAGAGATGGGTCTTACTATGTTGCCCAGGCTAGTCTCTAACTCCTGACCTCAAGTGATCCTTCTGTCTTGGCCTCCCAAAGGATGGAGATTACAGGCGTGAGCCACAATACCTGGCCATTTTTAGCTGTTGATATAAAGTGAGAGACGTGACTTTTTTTTGAGACAGAGTCTTGCTCTGTTGCTCAGGCTGGAATGCAGTAGCGCCATTTAAGCTCACTGCAGCCTCTGCCTGCTAAGTTCAAGCGATTCTCCTGCCTCAGTCTCACGAGTAGCTGGGACTACAGGTGTGCACTACGAGGTCTGGCTAATTTTTGTATTTTTAGTAGAGATGGGGTTTTCCCATGTTGGCCAGGCTGGTCTCGAACTCCTGGCCTCAAGTGATCCACCCACCTCAGCCTCCCAAAGTGCTGGAATTACAGGCTTGAGCCACCACGCCCAGCCGAGAGACGTGACTTCTGCTTTCAGTTGAACACTTAGAGACCATTGTAGGGTTCTTAGTTGGACTGATTTCAGTATCACTGGGTCTCAGGGAATAGGGAAGCCTGAGGAGAGAAAGAGAGACAGGGGAACAGCCAGTTAGTGGAACAGTCAGACCACATACAACACATTAAATTCACTTTCTTCTATGGGCATGGTTCATGGTGCAGTAAAACAGTTGTAACAATAACATCAAAGATCATTAATCACAGAGCACTATAACATATAATAATAGTGAAAAGTTTCAAAGTATTGAGAGAATTAGCAAAATGTGATACAGAGGCAGAAGTGAGCACATGCTGATGGACTAGCTTAATGCAGGGATGTCAGAAACTTCCAATTTGTAAAAACCACAATTGTGTTATTATTGTGTGAAGCGCAATAACACAAAGCATAATAAAACGAGGTATGTCTATATCAGTCAAAATATTGGGCAACTCTGGTAAGTCTGTCCACTTAGCATCGTACCACTGAAGATGAATAGCACCTACCATTTTCATCATTCATAAATATGTAGGAGGACATAATCACATAATCTTGAAGTAAAAGACAGTGCTTAAAACTGAATCAGTTGAGTTTTATGAAAAATACTTCATATTGTCCATTTAAAAATACATATTTTTTAATTTTAGTAGCTTTGGGGTTACAAGTGGTCTTTGGTTACATGGATGAATTCTATAATGGTGAATTCTGAGATTTTATTGCACCTGTCACCCAATATTGTATCCAGAATATTGCCCTTTTTTTTTTTTTTTTCATTTCACCATGGACTAATGAAAATTTTGTTAGGGACTGACATTAGGGCACCCTTGAGCTAAAGGAAATAACTCTTGAGTTGTTTTCTCTTTGGCCTAAAGAATGTGGTTTATTTTGTAACTGAATTCATGGGATTGTTAAGGTACAAGATTTTGCTATAGTTTTATTTGTGCTAGGATTTTGCTGTATTAATGTGAATAGAATCAAAAATGTTAGAAACAAATACATGGAATATAAGTTTCAAGCATGTGAGTAGAGGATCTCTGCCCCATTAAAAGTTCTGTTCTTGTTATAGGTTCCATCAGGCTTGTTCATCCCCAGCATGGCCATTGGAGCGATCGCAGGAAGGATTGTGGGGATTGCGGTGGAGCAGCTTGCCTACTATCACCATGACTGGTTTATCTTTAAGGAGTGGTGTGAGGTTGGGGCCGATTGCATTACACCTGGCCTTTATGCCATGGTTGGTGCTGCTGCATGCTTAGGTAATATGGCTGTGTCTGCCTGTGTGTGGATGTTTGCTAGTTTGAGAGAGCCAAGACAAAGTGGGACACATTCTTGCTTAATTGGTGGGCAGATTGGTTGAGTAAAGGAGGGTGCAGGGAGGAAATGTTTTAACAGATAAGAAACAGTAGTACTATTAGGGTATTATTCAGTACCGGTTTTCTGTCTTACAACATTTGTTAATACAAGAATTTACTGGAATTAACATATTGTAATATAACTTAATACTTTATGGCAGAAGCCATCTAAGTACAACATAAGCTTAATTTGAATCCTGACCAAAGAGGTCTTTGATTCTTTCATTGTTAAGGATCTGGCTTACCTATAGCAACTATAGCTTGATACCTAAGATTAGCATTGCAACAAAGTTTCAGAGTAGCTTGACTTTGGTTCTGAAATGATTTAGTGTTAGCCTTAGTAACAGATGTATTTACCCATGCTCCATCATCTAAGCTGTACATTACAAAATGAGAAGAGGTAACTGTTCATTTTAATGAGAAGAAAAACAAAATACCTACATTAAATACTTGAGTCTATTCGATGTCTGTTGGGGCAGGAAAAAATAGTTATTGCTTTTCATATTTAAAATGTCAGCTAAACTTTGGTTATAATATTAAATAATAGTTGCCATTTTGACCAGTTTTGTTCAGTGAATAAAAATTATGTGATTATTGATCTTTTAAAATGTATTATCAATTAAAAGGGAAGGACAGAATCATTTTCACTGAATTAGCAAGTATTTATTAAGTGGCCACTTTCTTTTAGCATTATGCTAGATACAGTGAGTAGTACAAAAAGAACATGGACCCAATCTCAACTCTAATCAAGTTGAGGAGACAAGATGAACACTGAGAATACAATAGTGAGGAATATTAAGAAGTATATACAAGTTTAAAAGAGTCTAAGTATGGTAGGAATATAGGGGAAGAAAGAGCTGAAGTACTTCAGAAAGAATGGGCATGAGCTTTATTTGAAAGATTAGCAGAATTTAAGGAAAAGGTGAGTTTGTTGAAGATTATAATGTGAAGACGAACTAGGATGGGAATAAATTTTGTATTCATAAGGCTTTGAAGAAATTGACTCTAAGTAGAGAGTACATTTTGGGTACTTTTGGGAAATGAAGTTGGATTGGTGAGAAGGAACGGATTATGAAAAGACAAGAAACCTGATTAATGTCAGGATTATTTTATATTTGAAGTTGGTCAGATTTGTGGCAGTCCTAGCTTTGTCATTTTTAGTTTGATGACTTTGAGAAAGTTCCTTCTTGAAGTTTTAATTTTCTGTATATAAAAAGGAATAACAGCTGGTGATCTGCTAGGATTGTTTTGAGGATTACATGAGATAAAATGCATGTAAAGCTGTTATAATAGTGCCTGGTGAAATAAGTGCCTAGTTTGAAAAACAAGTCTTTGTAAACTGATTAGGACATGCCTGGCATAGGGTAGGTATGTAATATATGGTAGGACCTGTCTCCTTTCTATTTTTAGGTAAAAAACAAAGGGAAGAGCTTGAGCTTAATACAGTATGAACTGACAAGCCCTGGTAGGTTTTTGAGCAAAAGAGCAACACAATAAAAGTAGTACTTAGGAAAGATTAGCCAGGGAACATGGCTTATACAGTGGTAATGGGGCCTGGAGTCAAGGAGGTCAGAGAAAATGGTATTATAATTAAGGAATAGCAGGCATGATGGCACATGTGTGTAATGCCAGCTACTGGAGAGGCTGAGGTGGGAGGATCATGGGAGCCCAGGAGTTTGAGACCAGCCTGGGCAACTGAGTGAGACCCCAAATCCTTAAAAAATACAAAGTGAAAAAGGAATAGTCATGAGGGCTTAGACTGAGCTGATAACAGTGAGAATCCCATAGGTAGTGTGAACACAGCTCACTGCGGCCTCAAGCCCCTGGCCCAAACGAGCCTCCCACCTCAGCGTCCAAGTAGCTGGGACCACAGACATACACCAGCGTGCCTGGCTACTTTTTTTAGTTTTTATTTTTGTAGAGACAGGGTCTCACTGTATTGCCCCGGCTGATCTCAAACTCCTGGACTTAAGTGATCTTCCTACCTCGGCCTCCCAAAGTGCTGAGATTACAGGCATGAGCCACTGTGCCTGGCCCAAATAGTTTTCTGTGGGTGGATATTACTTGCATCGTTAATGTAAATCAAAGGCATCAAAGTATTTTACTCTTTTTGAAAAAAATTTAGAGGATAAATTTATTATATTAACATTCTACCCATATATGAGTTTAATTTGTAGATTGTAGCAAAGAAAACCATGATGTCCTTTACCAAATTCCTTAATAATTAGAATAATAAGCTTGTATAAGGCTTAAATTATGTCTTTGCTACAGCAGTAAACGAAAATGGCAAAATTGTTTTAGTTGATAAACTTTGATTTTTTAAAATGTGAAATAAACAGGTTTTTAAAATGTTATTTTAATAGTCTTCTCTGTTATAAACAAAGAAAATTGGTGTTTCTCTAGATTTTATTAAAAGTAGTGATTATTGTCCTAAAAGAGGAGTAGCAGTTTTAGATGATATGCTTTTCCCTGACTGAGTTATATTTGCCATTTGGTTTTAACTGCCTACTGCAAAAGTTCTAATAAAATGTAATGGTGAGGATCCTATCCTTCCTGACCAGTGGGTGCTTGCTTTTTTCAGGTGGTGTGACAAGAATGACTGTCTCCCTGGTGGTGATTGTTTTCGAGCTCACTGGAGGCTTGGAATATATTGTTCCCCTTATGGCTGCAGTCATGACCAGTAAATGGGTTGGAGATGCCTTTGGCAGGGAAGGCATTTATGAAGCGCACATCCGATTAAATGGATACCCTTTCTTGGATGCAAAAGAAGAATTCACTCACACCACCCTGGCTGCTGACGTCATGAGACCTCGAAGGAACGATCCTCCCTTAGCTGTCCTGACACAGGACAATATGACAGTGGATGATATAGAAAACATGATTAATGAAACCAGCTACAATGGATTTCCTGTCATAATGTCAAAAGAATCTCAGAGATTAGTGGGATTTGCCCTCAGAAGAGACCTGACAATTGCAATAGGTACCTTTTCAAAAATATATATATGTATATACGAGATGGATTTCTGGAAGAAAGGAAAGCAATAAGCAATAACATTTAATGGGTTGGATTTGTGGGGGCAAGGGACGTTATTTTATGTCCCTTAAAATCTTCTGTTCTTTAGGAAAGGAAGGTATGCTTCAGTGGATGGTTTTCTGCTAAATACAGTTTTATCTTTTGATCTGGCATTGTACCAGAAATTGGAGTCAGATTCTTTTCCCACTCCGATAAGCCTTGATAGTTGATCTTGGTTATTCAAAATAGCATGTAATGTAAGACCTTAGCTAAATGCATTCAGTCAAATACATTCTTGTATTTAATAAAGTTGGCTTATTGGAATACAAGTTATTGAAAATCTCATCTTCATCAGTCTCTTTTTTAACACTGTTTTGCTTTATCAGTCTTCGGAGTTAGGATTATAATGATTATAATATTAATGTATAATAAATGATTTAAAGTGACTATCACTGAGATTTTTATTTCTGATCGAATGCCAGGTTGAAAAAGTATAATGTATCAGTCCTGTTGTGTTTTATGCAGAATTTCCTGAAAGTACTAGTTAAAGGTATTAGCCATGGTATATTTCTTGGAGATAAACTTTCTACCGTTGTATTTCTCTAAAATTTGTTTTTCTCTTTATCTTATAGTCTTGCAGTATTGATGAGGAGGCCATTAAGACTTAATTTTTTTTTGGTGCAATCTTATATCTCTTCCTCCAACCGCTAAAAAGTGACTGAGGATAGGTACATCAAGCCATTGCTTTGTTCCTCCCCAGTTTTTAGTACTGACCCTGAATGGAAGTGTCAAGCCTTTGGTCTGTCTGAAAGGTCATTCCTGTGAGCGTATCATCTCCCTTCCAGCTTACCCGTGTGGCCATTGCAAAAGGATTTAAAAATAATTTTTGTGCCATTTGAATGGCACACAACCAGACAGTGTATATGGGGGAGTGTTTCTCAAATCAAACTGCAAAGTCTTGAATTTGTAAGAACCATTTGGCAGAGAGAGAGAAAAGAAAGAAAAAGAAAAAAGGTCCTACAGAGAACAGCTTGTTCGGTTTGGGAACAGGCTACAGCTTTGGAAGGATTTTTCAAGGCCTAGCAATCCCATCATTCTAAATTTTACTTAGCTAATACAATAGTAGTTGCCAGCGCTGATGACAAAGTATTTTGTCATGCTTGGCTCCATTCAAGCATTTTAGTTTTTTAGCCATTACCATGGCTAGATCTAGTCAGAAAATAGTATCATTGTTTAAGATTCCCATTCTCTAGTTTTTACTAGTAGCCAGCCAAAGAAAAGAAAAAGGAGGTCAGAATTTTGGTATTTATATAGAAATTTAGGGGGAAAAGGCCAGGCAGGTTTTTAAAGTGTGGAAATTAAGAACTATTCATTATCCCACTGATTGTGTGGATGTATTTTTTAAAGTTTCGTCACTGTCTTGGGAGAGAGAATATTGAGATAGGAGATAATGTTGGTTTAAGGGAATGAGGGTACTTTCTGTAGGTGAGGTGTTAAGCCATGTCATCAGAAATGTTAGTCACATGACTTATTAAGCACACCTTAAATGTTTTACCCATGTTTTTGTAAAGTTTTAATTTTTAACTGTAATTTTTCCGAGTTTAATTTTTAACTGGGAAAAACAGACCTGTATACTACGTTTTATATATATATAAAAATTTAAAATTACATATGTTTATATATGTAATTTTTATATGGGAGAGAGATATATATTCTCTATATCTATATTAAATTCACTCACACCACCCTGGCTGCTGACGTCATATTTTCTGATAATAATTCAGGCTTTTTTTTTTTTTTTTTTTTTTTTTTGAGACAGGGTCTTGCTCTGTCACCCAGGCTGGAAGTGCAGTGGTCGATATTGGCTCACTGCAACCTCCGCCTCCCAGGTTCAAGTGATTCTCCTGCCTCAGCCTCCCCAAGTAGCTGGAATTACAGGCATTGCGCACCGACACTCATGTATTTTTTTGGATTTAGTAGTAGAGTAGGATTTCACCATGTTGCGTCAGGCTGGTCTCAAACTCCTGGCCTCAAGTGATCCACCTGCTTCAGCTTCCCAAAGTGCTAGGATTACAGGCATGAGCCAACATGCATGCGCCTCAGACATTTGTTTTAAAAGTCTCCACATTCCTATTGTAATGGCTCCT